ATTTATTATATTTATTATTATTATTATTATTATTATTTAAGCAGTGAAGCATACTCTTATAATAATAATAATAATAATAATAATAGTACATTAAAAATGTTTTCTGATCCCAGGATTAAATATATATTTTTTATTAATTCATTATATTAAATACTATTACTGTATATTAAAGCAGTGAAATATACTATTCAATTATAATAAATAAATAATTTAATTGTTTTCTGATCTCATGATTAATTATGATATGATAAGTTTTGTTAATATTAATATGAAACATTAATAGCAAAATCAAAGTTTAGGCAAAACAATAGAAAGACAATGTGTTGTTGTTGGATATAAGAACATAAAACAGGACATTTAAATCTAAACTTGTTTAAAAAATATGATATAAACATTAATAAATAACACATGAAAATAACATGAATAGAACAAGCACCTTTTTAAAATGATTTCCCCCATTTTTATTAGTCTTTTTAACACAACTTTTGTGTTTTCAGCTTCACGACTTCGCCAAACTCAACGACAACGTGTTCTACATCTACAACGACATCGAGCATTTTAAAGGAGAGCCCCAGAAGATCTCCATCAGCTGTGAAGAAGACATGCACGTCACAGAGGAGGTGTATAAGAGGCCGCGCTTCACCATGCCCTCGTACAGGTGCACAGAGCCGCCGGCTTGCATGCCGTCTTCATCTTATGCACGTGGTCTAAACGAATGTGTTTGTTCAGGTATTACCGTCTGCCTCTGCCGACGGAGGGCGCGCCGCTGGAGGACGAGTTTGATGCATTCGTGAACGTTCTCCGGGTAAGAGATTCTCCTGAAACCACCGACATGAACTGCATGACCTTTCTGATAATTATTCCGTGCATTGGTCAGCTGATGTCATGTGAATGGCATAAACACATCAATAGTTTTCTCGTGATGCAGTGATTAAAGCCTCTGAAGATGTTTGACGTCTTTGAGACGGTGGGATCCAAACACGCCAGAATCTGTAATATATAACGTGTTTAGATGGAAGGAAACGAGTTAATGGGATATTCTGGAGTCTGTAGATCATCAGACAAACACTCTCATTCAGTTACAAAACAAGAGTCGTTTTCTCTTTCTCTGCCCTTTTTGATGGTTTTAACCCTCAAAGACCGAGACTAAAAATAACTTGTTCTTAAATGTTTAATAACTTCTGAACCGCTAATCCTATCTGAATGCTTTCTGAGATATCTCATTTGTCTTATTTGGCTTCGTAGTGTACGTGATTACGTCATCACATTTTGACAACATTGATTCGTCTGAAGAAACCAATGCATTTCGTTCCTCTGAGCCAAACGGGAACGATTGTTGACGTTTAGTAGCCCAGATTGGTTCAAACCGTCCCAGATTCAACCAATAAACATAGGTTTTGGTCTTTTGAACCACCATTGAGGATTTTCATTGGAAATTTGAACAAACGCAAAGTGAAAGTAAAGTCTTTCGTG